CTCAGACTGACTGGAATTAAGATATGATGGTGGGAGCTGATGCAGCCATTTGAACCTAATGGTAGAAGATGCAAGTTGAACATGATAGAACCCCCCACCCTCGTACTGGCCTGCCTACCTATCCCTGGACTGCTGTATTATAAGGAGAAATAAACTTCTATTTTGTTGAAGCCACGGACAATCGGAACCTTTGCTACAGCAGCCAAACCTCTCTTTAAGCAATGCGCTTGCAGGGCAGGATCAGGGTAGGATTAGAAATTACAAGTGCAAAGAAGGATGCTTCCCATTTATGCAGTGCTTAAGGTTGTGTGCAGTATCCCACGTAATCCCTCACAATCCTATGTGGTAAATACTTTCATTATTATAATTTTACAAATGAAAAATCAGGTCACAAAGAGATTAAATAACTTGATTAACATCTCAAACCCAGTGTTGCCGGGCTCTTGCATCACACTTTCAACCACTAAGCTTCATGTAAATAAAGCAGAGACCTGGCATGTAGTATATGCTCATAAGTGGTTACTGAAAGGATTGCCTTGCCGTCTGCTTCTGGTCCTCGTAGACCTCCAGCTATGAGGCTTTGAAGGCGGGCAGGCACGAGGAAGCGGCTCTTCGCTAGTCATCTTGGGGTGGCATCAAGGGTGGGACAGAGGAGGGCTCTAGTGGGGACAGACGCCAGTGCTGCTCAACACTAAAACCATAGCGATTTTCTGGGTGTCAGAAAGGAGCCCTCGGCCTTGCCCCAGCCCTTCATCTCTGAGAGCTCCCGCACCGGCTCCTGCTGCCATCCCAGCCCACTCATCCTCTTAGGGCAAATCAGCAGAAGGTACTGGCTTTGGTTGGGAAGCAAATACTCCTTGGGTGTTTGGTTTTAGTTTCTGGTCGTGGTATCTTATTTCTTGAAACCCTGTTTCTTGGCTCGCTCTCAAAAGGAGATGTGATAAGAGCACTGCATCCTGGCCCTGGCGTGGATTTGGCTGCCATCTCTGGGTAGCTTATTTGTCTGGAACATGGGGTCGGGATCCTCTGTAAGTGTTATTTTTATATTAGAGAAAGAAAAACAGCTTGAGGAGGCCAAGGGAGTAACCTGGATGAGACCCCTTACTGATATGTTGTAAATGGTGGCCCCTGTGCCAGAGTGGCTGGGAGAGCAGGCGTCATGTCAGTCCCCAGACACTCCAGCTCCTGTCCTGTCTGTGTGTGGCTGAAACTAAGCAGAGTCAATGCTCGTGTTCCAAGGACCTAGACGGAGTCAGAATCTTGTTAATGTAGTTTAGTCTGCCCCACATTGCTGAGCCCTTTTCTGTGGGCTGTTGGAAGTTGAAGTGGACAAATGGTGCTTTTATCTACTCAGTATCTATTATGCCCTCTCATGGCAGCCCTCCAAGGAACCACAGGCCCTTCAGGGGACCACAGGACCTCCAATCTCAGAGCACATGGTTTTCCAAAAGGCTTAGCTATGGGTTCCAGGAACTATACCTCTGATTCAGACTTATGCAATCAGCTCATCATACTCTCCTGGCCACAGCAAAGGAGGCATTGATATAATTAGTCCCAAAGGGGTGAATCCTGGGACTTTTGATGGAGCTAATGAGATCTCATGTCCACTTGATTTGGAGCTGTAAGTGTGGAGATTCTGCCACCACCATGCAGGACCTGCCTGAGAATGAGCCCCAGATCAAACTATACCTGAAGACCTCCCGCTGGGTTTTTTTTCAGTTACATTAACCAATAGAGTCTTTTTTGTTTAATGCAGTTTGAAGTGAATCTTCCATCACCTGCAGTTGAGGTTCTGATACCAGAGTTAAAGAAACAAGACCTAGACACCTTCAAAGGCTTCTAGAGGTTGTGTTCAGTCACTTCCCAAGAAAAAGTGCACATCTGAAGAAGCAATTGGAGTAAAGCAACACGGTGACAATGGGGACAAAAAGGTACTTTGGAAAATACAGTAAAAGATGGATTGGAATGGGACAAGGATAACGAAGGGAGGTTCCTAAAGAAGGTGAGTTTGGATATAGGAATAATAATCACAACAGCAACAACTATTTACTGAACCCTAAACATGTGCTGGGCACTGGGTTAAGCAACTTACATATGTGGTGGAAGGATGTTTTGAAATACTAACCAAATTGAGGTGTACTTCCTTCTACCATATAGCCCTTTTCTCACTCCAACTTGGCATTTCCTTGTTTAATACCTCAGGGAAGAAAGGATACCTGCAAAGAAGAAAAGGCATCCTTGGACAAAAATCGTGCACCTATGGATGAGGACAGTGGGGGGAGGGGGTGGGGGGAGGGCG